CTTAGTAGCCACGATGATTACTACAAAGTAGTAATCACCATAACCACTCTCTTTGCTCAAGTCAACACTTTTTGCAAAATTCCCTTTTCTTTTCCACCTTTTTTCAAACACAATCTTAGCTCCCTATTTGCATACATTTATATGTCCCCACTTCAAAAATCTGTCATTCGTGAATACGTTAAAATTATCAGCCTCCACATTTTGCTTCTGCTTCACTATTCATTGGTGAATGATTAAAACAACCTAGGTCACACCTCTCCATAGACATATTCATTTTGACTTCACTCAAATCGCCTTCATTCCTAAATTCCTATCATACACAATTATAGAAGTACATATTGGTAGTATAGGAATATAAGTATATAAGTATAACTACAACTTAGTTACATGATTATGATATGCAATTGTCTCTCATTTTCATTGATCTAAACCATATTTATTTTTTAGGTACTTATTTATCAAATATGTGAATTTTCACTCTCGAACCCATTCAAGTACATGTTAGAGTTGTGCTGATGTCATGTAAAAAAATGTACATCCTGAAAAAAGATTTGTGCACAACAAAGGCTTCACTTTGTTGTCTTAATATTCAAATGAATTTAACACCTAACCTTTAACTGTAGTATTTTTATTTTATTGGTTGACATTCGATTCAATTTTAAAAGTGTAAGTCTAATTTCGAAATAAATTATATTAAAAATCAAAAATAAATATTGTATTATACATTTTGGTTCATAACATAAATTATTAACAACTAAAAAATATTTTTAACTAAGCATTTACAAATGTTCGAATAAAATCAACAAAAAAATAAATAAATGAGAAACTTAGACACTTAATTATCGGCCAAATCCAAAATTTTATTTAACTTTCATGTCACGTTCATTTCAAACATATAAAAAAATTCATATACTAAAACATCAATGATACATGTTTTTGTACTATTATAGTTTGAATAATGGATGTGCATTATATATTTTCAATTCAAGAATAAATTTATTATTGATTGAGAAATGTACTCTTACTAGAAAGTTCAATGGCTAAGTTTGTTAATTTGCACATTCATCAAACATAGAGTTGAGATGAAAAACAACTCTATTTTATTGTTACATATGATAAAATGGTAAGGTTCAAATGTATGATCTACAATGGTAACGTAGAGTTAGTGCTATGAGTTACAAGATCGGTTACATCTCAATTCCAATTGGTTTTGTTAGTGTGAGATATCGAAGTGGCAAAATATTTTGGAGAGTACATATGGATTTACAATGATATATGAGTGACAAGATGAATCATTATTTGAATGATGGGCAAGGGTTATACATATCAATTAGAATACAAATTTACCATTGAGCAGTCTACTACCACCAGAATGTTCAACTTCTAAGCTAGTTGAGTGGTACATTCATCAACGGAGAAATAACTTAAAATGGCTCTGATTCGATCATTACATATGATAATTTAAATCATGTGCGTGATTTTTTCTTCACGAGATTGAAAAAAATAATAGACTTCCACAATATTTGGCTAAAACATGTGGATGCATGAAATCAATGAAAAGTTATGTACAACATATGATGTTGAAAACGCATGATCAATCAAAGAGCAGATGATCGTAAATATGATTTACAAAACAGTGATGAAGCTATGACTCTGATTGTTTTACATGATTGTTGCTTCTAGCCACACTCAAACAACATATGCCGACCCTATAATCAAACATTAAAATTTGAATGATAAATAGTCTTAATAAACATATACAAAGAGAAGTAGTACCCTACTGCTATTAAAATATAAAAAAAATATTAAAACATGTCGCCCATCGGGCGTACATAGAACTAGTTACAATACATGACAAACTAGATACATAAAATACTGAAATTATGAAGGTGAAACGAATACGTAGCAATCAAGAGAGGTTAGCAACCTAACCATCAAACATAGCGATGGCAATTTGAATCCGTCCCGTGGGTCGATTCATGGTTTATCTACTTCCGATCCGCACTGCCCGCCCTGCCCCGTTCTTGGCCCATACTGCCTCAATTTCACACAATATACTATTTTGACTTTTCTTCAATTAGTTAGAGTCAATCTTTCAACTGATTAGACTCAATTACTTATTATATTATCACTTTTTTTCATTGATAAAGTGTTTTCCACTTTGTTTTATCGTAAAAATTAAAATTTGCGCGTATTTTAAAAATAACATGTAAAAGTGGGTCGATTCGCCCCGCCCTGTAACCGCGTGGATTTTACCCACCCGACCCGTAGTAGCATGAGACGGGTCATGGGATTGAGGTACCCGCCCTGCCCCATTGCCATCACTAATCAAACACAGTTGTGAACTGTGCATCACAACTCCAAAGAAAAAAGCTGATTGTTTGGAAGGAAACTTATGGCGGTACTTGTGTGTTATCAGTTATGTCCTCAAAGTCTGGAGAGTAGAGGCCATTTGTTTGCTGGATGCTCTAATACTAGATAATAAGATTTGGAAGCATGCCTGGGTTCATCTTCTTCCGCTCCCTTTTGATTGGGTTGTTAAGAAATAAAAATGTTACTTCGATGCAATTTTGATCAATCATGAAAACAAAACAAGAAGAAAGGGAGACTATACGTTACAGCAGCAAACAGTATTAAGGGATTAGGGAGCCTCCCTCCAACCAACCACGACGAAGAAAGAAACAATGTAAACAGGAGACCAGTCCATGCTCCTGCTGTCTCCTCCTCAGTCGGTAAGTGATCCAAAAACAAATTTCAAACTGCAAAACAACGTTGAAACTGACAACACTCTGACCATAAACCCCAAACCAACTTACCGGAACTAAATATCTTCTCTTGTCTTCACCCTTCAAGTTGATATGTGCGTGAATATGGCCCCATTAGCTTCCACCGGTATCTGTGATAGATGTAAACCCATCCTCGCGGGAGACAGTAGGGTTCCTCTGCACAAACTGTTCTCTTCGTTCGACACAATTCGTTCGACTCCATCGTTGGCTCTATCCATAGTGTTCCTGGAGAGACTAATGGGTCCAACAATGGCATTACATATACTCTGGAAAACTACCTCCCTGTTGTATCCTGAATCAACTAGTACGGCCCCAGCCAAAGACTATGACATCTCCAAGAATCTAAACGGACAATGCACGCCATGGATCCACAAAAAGAAGAACAAGAACTGAACAGTTCAGCAGCCTCAGATGATGGTTTACAAACATGGACAGTGACCAAAAAGGAATCAAAGAAAACGATGCAAAAGGAAAGCGCAGGCAGGGGTGAGTAACGTATTCACCAAACTAAGTAAACGGTACGACTAACCTTGGGGCAAGAAGTCTCAGATTCCCAACCGAAACATGGCCCTGAAGGCAGTTCCTCTAACTTTGAAACGCAGCAACTTATGTCCATGTGCAGTTTTGTGATGCACGGAGTATGTGCTTATGTAGCCCGTTCTTGATAGCTGATTGAGCATAACATTCATGGTTTACTGAAGCCAATCTCATGTCTATCAATATCAGGATGCTTCTTGTATAGATGCAATGCGATGAGATAATCCAAGACCGAGCCTGCAAGAAAATCCAGCCTCTTAGGAGAAACATTTTATAGTATGATAATAATTTAACATCAGAAGAAAGAACCTATTGTAGTGTCTAAGCAAAATTCCAACTATTGACTGTCAGGAAACTAAGTTTAAGTTGTGAATAAACCTGACAACATCTTTTCAAGACAGCTGATTCATGGAGCATGTGCTCGTTCTTAGTAGCTGATTGAGCATAACATTCATTGTTCACCGAAGCCGATCTCACGTCTATTAATAAGCTCTACCACTCTCCAGGTAATAAGCTGATCTCTTTCGGGGGCTTCACATGAAAGTGGGAGGATTGTGTTCCATCCATCCTCGCACCGGCTGAAGGGCGGAGGAGCATCATCAATCCCTCACCAATAATCCTGACACGAACAAGCTCCGTCTTTGAAATGATGGAAACGGTTCCGGTCCCGAACAATGATTTCTTTCTCGAATTTTCTCGAAACATGCTTCATGAAGGAATGACAATCACGACATGTCCGGAGATTTTTTCATGATCCTGATCGTTCTACTCCTATCAGTAAAGTTCAGAAGGGCGAATGAAACTGCCAGCTTTTCACTGTGAAAACCAACACTCTGCTCCTTCTCCTCATCCTCAATGTCATGAAACACACTTAACTTGTGCGGCGCATAACCTTCAACTCTGATATTATCGATTATCCGCTGTAAGTAGACCTTGACTTTCTGTGTGTATTCCACCAGATGATCATCACGGTCCCCTGATAGAAACTCATGAATCTCATGACCCACAACAAGTAAACTACGGCCAGGCGTTTTAGCAATCCTCTTATCTTGCATTGCAGCTCTCAACTGTGCCTTCTTGGTGTACCGACCAGTCCCACCATAAGCATTTGATAGAAGCACACAATCCCCATCGTGATAAGGATCTAGCTGAGAAAGCTTCTGCTTCACTTGGTCTGCTAATGCAAGATTGTCATCATGATTCACACAAGCTCCCAGCAGGGTCCTCCAAATGACTGCATTTGGTTTACAGGGCATATCTTGTACAATATTGAAAGCCTCATCAACTAAGCCAGCACGGCCAAGGAGATCAACCATGCAACCATAATTCTCCAGAGTTGGTTCCATATCATATTCTTCCTTAATGGCTCGAAAAATTTGCCAACCATTGTCAACAAGACCACCATGACTGCAAGCAACTAAAGCAGCACTAAACGTGATGTGATCAGGCCGCAAACCAGCTCCCTCCTTCATCTCATGGAACAGTCTCAACGCTTCCTTGCTGCGACCATGCACCGTTAGCCCGTTTATCAATGCAGTCCAAGTCCTTACGTTTCTCACAGGCATCCGGTCAAACACTCTGATTGAATCGTTTATAGACCCACAACGTGAGAACATGTCAATCAACGCAGTACCTAATGCAACAGTAAGCTCCAACCCATTTCTGGATATATACGCATCAACCCACGTCCCCAAATCCACCTGCTCCGATGCTCGAAATGGCAGAAGCCACGCTAAGCAACGTAACCTCATCAGGCTTCACGCTGCCATCAATCTGCATCTGTTGAAACAGAGCCAGGGCCTCTGTCACAGAAGCATTATCGACAAAGCAAGCAATCATCGAAGACCAAGAGACCACGTCTTTCTCAGGCATTTCCTCAAACACCTTCAAAGCATCCGCCACCCTGCCGCAGCCACTATAAACACCGATCAATGCGTTCTGCACATACACATCCGAGCCGAAACCCATCTTCAGAATGACCGACTGAAGATGCATGCCCAGCTGGAGACGAGAGCAGGCCTTGAGAACGAAGGGGAAAGTGAAGTGATCCAGCGACACGCCAGGACGGCGGCGCATGTTGCAGAAAAGGGAAAGAGCCAAGAAAGGGAGGAAGCAGCATGAGCTCGAATGAGGGTGTTGTACGCAAAGGTCACCCTGGCGCCAAACAGTTGATTCCGATGCATTCCCGACGCTGCTTCAGGCTCCAAAGTGATAAGGAGGAGCTATACTCGGATCAACATAACAACTTACCTCTCTATCAACTATGTTTATGTTGCTTTCTGTTCCTTAGTTCACGTTAGTGGTTTCTGTTAGGAACAGAACAACAAAAGGAACGAGGTTACCGAATCTGGAGCTGAGTCGCGGACTAGGTCGCTTTCTTTAAGACGTTCGCGGCACTGCCTTCGATGCGCACGGCAGACTATCAACCGGTCGTCTCCAGGATAAAACAGCTCCTCTCAATACTCGCGGTTTTGTGCGAAAACCGAAGCTCTCTAAACACTCTCTCTATTGTGTTTCTGCTCGTTGTGATGTCTTTAGAGGGGCTGGGGAGGCGGCTATTTATAGGAGCCGAACCCCTAGGAATATACCCTCTTGCTTGGGGAATAAGTCGGATTAATTAAGGAAGATAATTACTTCCTTAATTAAAACCGTCGGTTAAGATAAACCCGGAGGGATTATCCTTCGAATATTCCGTTTTAGTCGATTATCCTTAGGAATATACCTCAGAATAACAGATTAATAATTAATTATTAAATAATTAATTTCGTTCGGAATTTCTCCAAAAATATATATATAGTCTCAAGTGAACCAACCAACCAACCAACCAACCAACCGGTCGGACGGACGGACGGCGCGCGCGAGCGCGTGTGTGTGGTGGTCCATTAGGTCCTCCCTCTCCCACAAAAGTGGGTCACCCCAAGGGGCATGCCCTTGGGAGAGAGGCTCATATCTTTATACACATTTCACCAAGTAAAACTACCAATGTGGTAGTTTTTTCCACTAGAGACTCTATAGCTTTCAAAGCTATTCATATACATTCATTTCCAACAATCCCCCACTTGAATAGTTTTGAAACTATCTCTGAGCATCAACAGTTCCATAAGATCGGGCATAAGCTAAGGTATCGCGAAGATTTGAACCTTAGCGTAGTGGTTACACTTCCGATTTCATAAGGGTGACTCGTAGTCTTGAACCCTATCTCAGACAGTGTAGCACACCGGATCTTTTCATTGAGTTGTGTTCTCTTCATAGCCCGTGCGTTTATGGCCATGCACGTTACCCTGGTTTAGTGAACGCTCTAGCAACTTTGTGCCTCCAAAGTTCCATAGGGAGCGGCCCCACTCCCACATTCACATAGGTGAGTCTATCAAGAGTACCCCCAAAGTAAAGTACTCCACCCCACATAGGGTATAGATCTCATTAAGAGTTATTAACTCAACCTCCATTGCTTTGGGATTCATGCTTCACTATGCATGAACTTTTCGCATACTACTCATGACTTGTTATTACCCATTGAACCCATTTCTTGGGATCTCCAGTCTATTGGGTCGGGTTACCATCACTTGTAGTCCGTGGTTCGGTAGGCATAAGTCCCATACCCTTGGCGGTATTCTGGACTTTCTCTCTAGGTAATCCTTTCGTCAAAGGATCAGCTAGATTCTGTTCGGATCTTATATGATCCACCCTCACTGCTCCTATCGTTAGGAGTTCTCTTACAGTACTGTGCTTACGACGAATCTGTCGTTTCTTTCCGTTATAGAACCGGTTCTCAACTTTAGCGATAGCTGCGGTACTATCACAATGGATCAATACCGGAGGGACCGGTCTTTCCCATAGGGGAATCTCTGACAACAATCCTCTCAACCAACTTGCTTCTTCACTAGCCGTTGCTAGTGCTATCATCTCTGATTCCATAGTTGATTGAGCTAGGATTGTTTGTTTCTTTGACTTCCAAGACACAGCTCCACCAGCGATGTTGAAAACATACCCGCTGGTTGCCTTGGAGTCATCTGATAGGGTATTCCAATCCGCATCACTATACCCTTCTAGTACAGCAGGAAACCTTTGATAATGTATACCAAGGTTTGCTGTTCTCTTGAGGTATCTCATGACCCTCTCTATAGCATTCCAATGCTCTCTACTAGGACAGCTGTTAAACCTGCCAAGCAATCCCACGACATATGCAATGTCTGGTCGAGTGTAATCCGCAGCATAACGGAGACTGCCAATGATGCTAGCATATTCTGATTGTCTTACACTGTCTCCAGTGTTCTTAAATAGCTTTACACTAGCATCATACGGAGTACACGCAGGTTTACAGTCGAAATAGTTATACTTCTTCAAGATCTTCTCTATGTAGCTAGATTGATCTAGAGAATAACCATTTGCTGTTCTAGTTATCTGGATTCCAAGCATAAACTTTGCTTCTCCCAGATCTTTCACTTCAAAGCTCTCTTTTAACATGGCTTTTGCTTCATTGACCACGTGAATATTTGTACCAAATATCAACATGTCATCTACATACAAACATATGATAGTACAAGTGTTATTTTCTGACTTGCAGTAAATACACTTGTCACTTTCATTCACCTTAAAGCCATGTGAGAGAACGAGAGTGTCAAACTTCTCATGCCACTGTTTTGGAGCCTGTTTCAAACCATATAATGATTTGTCTAACTTACAGACTTTCGAGGCATGTTCGGGGATAACAAACCCTTCTGGTTGTTCCATATAGATTTCTTCATCTAGATCACCGTTCAAAAAAGCGGTCTTAACATCCATTTGGTGTACCACGAGATTGTTCAAGGCAGCAAGAGCAATCATTACACGAATGGATGTTATTCTAGATACTGGTGAATAGGTATCGAAGAAATCTATATTCTCTCTCTGCCTGTAGCCCTTTACTACTAGGCGAGCTCGGAACCTTTCGATTGCACCATCAGGTTTCCGTTTCGTTTTTAGAACCCATTTATTACCTAAGACTTTGCAGCCAGGAGGTAAGTCTGTTAGATGCCAAGTCTTATTAGCTTCTAACGATTCCATTTCATCTATAACGGCCTCATTCCAAAAATCTGCATCTACGGAAGTTAATGCTTCCTGCAAACTTTTTGGATCTTCGAGGGTGAATACTGTAGTAAAGTCATCACCAAAATCTTTAGAGATTCTAGCTCTTTTACTTCTTCTGAGTTCATCCTCAGAACCAACACCCCCACTAGTTCCGTTATCTCTAATAGCGGGTAGTACATTCCCCCCACTATTTCTCGTTTTAAATGGAAATCGTGTCTCAAAGAAATCAGCATCAATGGATTCTATTATAGTACGAGCATTCAAATCATAGAATCTATATGCCTTACTATTGGCCGCATAGCCAACGAAGACACATTCATATGCTCGACTAGCCAATTTAATCCTCTTAGGATCCGGAATTCTTACGTAGGCCAAACAGCCCCACGTTCTTAAATAGGACAGATTAGGTGGCTTATTCTTCAAGATCTCATAGGGTGATTCTTTTCTATTTGTTTTTGGAAGACGGTTTAGCACATAGCAAACTGTCAACAAAATATCACCCCACCAAGAAGAAGCAGCTCCAGAATTGAGCATAATAGCCACGACTAATTCTGTAAACGTCCTATTTTTCCGCTCAGCTTTACCATTCATTTCTGGTGAATATGGTGCCGTGGTTTCATGAATGATACCATGTGAGCTATAGAATTCCTTGAAGGGATTAGAGTCATACTCTGATCCTCTATCACTCCTAAGTCTTTTTATCTTTCGATTGCACTGATTTTCAAATTCAACCACAAATACCTTGAACATATCAAGGGCTTCACTTTTGTTTTTCATCAAATAAACAAAGCAATAATCAGAGCAATCATCTATGAAAGTGATAAAGTATCTCTTGCCAGACCTAGTTAACGTCCCATCTAGTTCACAAATATCAGAATGAATAAGATCTAAGGGTTCTGATTCTCTACTCACAGATTTATGGGGCGTTTTCGTTATTTTAGCTTGGCTACAGAAATCACATTTATCAAATTCATTCATTGAGAGTTTAGGGATATGCCCTAGCTTGCTTAAATTCTTCACAATTCGTGTGTTCACATGACAAAGACGAGCATGCCAAACATTCAAATCACACACCATGTAAACTGAAGAATTCATCTTATTAATTTCGACATTCAACTTGAACATCCCATTACATGCATATCCCTTTCCCACAAAACTCCCATTCTTAGTAAGGGTATACAAGTCTGCCCCAATAGTTTGATTAAACCCAGCCTTATTAAGAAGATATCCAGAAACAAGATTCTTCCTTATCTCTGGAGTGTGCAACACATCCTTGAGCACCATCTTCTTCCCAGAGGTGAAGTTCAGCTCCACTTCACCAGAACCAGCAACCATAGTAGTGTGGGTAGTCCCCAACAATACTTTCTTGTCAGCAGGTGCTTCTGTGTATGTTTTGAACATAGCACGATTGTTGCATACATGCTTCGATGCACCTGTATCCAGCCACCATCCTTCTGAGTCACCGGTGAGGTTAACTTCAGCAATCATATCTGTGATCATGGCTATCAAATCCTCTTCTGTCAAGTTAACCCTGGCCGCAGCGGCAGGGTTTTGCTTGTTCCGGCACTTCTTTGCCATATGACCCGGTTTTCCACAGTTATAGCAGATAAACGGTGGGTCATTCTTAGAGGTTTGGGCCATGACCCTTTGGTTACCTCGAGAGGCACCATTCTGGTGGGGGCGGACCTGCTGGTTCTTACTCTTAAACCCTTTCTGGTTAGGTTTAAGAGCTCTAGGGGTGGGTCGTTTAGCAGTGACGACCATCACCTCTTCTTTCATATCCTGCTTGCGGGACTCTTCCTCAATCCTTAGGCGAGTAATCAAGCTTTCCAGTGAAAATTCTTTGGTTTTGTGCCTAAGCATATTCTTAAAATCTTTCCACGAAGGGGGCAGCTTATCAATAATGCAAGCAACTTGAAATTGATCGTCCAGAGGCATACCTTCAGAGACGATCTCGTGAGCTATTTTCTGAAGTTCGTGGGACTGAACTTCGACGGACTTGTCATCCA